GACCCCTTTCAGAAGGTTATACGAGCCCAGAATGTCTTTTTGACTCTTGGAAAGCTGGCTATACTTGGCTAACCGGGTTTATGTGAGTTAGTGGCACAGCTAGTCAATACATTAAATTCTTAAAAGATATAAAAATAATTTTAACAGAAATACACTGAGGTCACAGTACACCGTACCCCGGTACCTCCTCTTCCTTCTTATTCTTTTCCTGTTTCTGTCCCTGCTCTGCTCTTGATTTCATCCAAAATCAGGTTCTTATCCGACTCCACATGCTCTACTCTGTAATCCTACAACATCTTTCTCCTCGTTCTTTATTGTGCTCCACATGCCTTCGTATCTTTGTTATAAGACTTAAATACCACTCTTGGTGACAAAGATCCACCCCTGGAAACACACAAAGGATCTCATTACAAAAAGAGGGAAGACATAGCCAGCTGCACTCAATCTTTGCCTTTGTGTGCACACTGGAAACAACACATCCATAGCGTTGGTTAGTTAGTTCACTTTGTTAAAGACATACAAGGGTCCACAGCAAGAGAACATTTACACAAAGGCACAGATTTAAAAACAAACTGGTTTTCAGAGGTCAAGACAAAACGTAAAATAGTCCTTTCAAAGGCCTTGAACAACATAATAGATGGGCCGATAGTTATCCCTGCTGCTTATTTGGTCAGCTTTGTCTTTTATGTTGGGTGCTAACATAACTGATAGAATTGAGCAAATTCCAAATGTTCAGCAGATGTCTGATCCATCCCACGTGGCCTTTTGTCTTTAATGTTCTATTTGCGTCATAAATTTCTTCAGAAGAAACTGTAACATCTTCCTTATTATCAGTTTCACCCTGTTTAAAGCTGGGACGCCGGCACAGACATACAGATCGCAGAGATGTTTCTGCCACATTCGAGTCATTTCCTCCGAACCACTAACACCATCAATATTAGCTGGTGGATGTTGTAACATCACTCATTCTTTTGATTACTTTCTAGAAATCATTGACGAACTTGTTCACCATTGTTTGCCAGGGATTGAGATCTCACAGTGTCGTCATTCCTTTTAAAACATATACTTAAATTATCATTTGTGCTTTTCTCATATTTAAACAGAGGAACATATTTATGCCTCCCTGACTCCGCCCTAGCTTTAAAGACCTTCTGGCCTCAGCATGAAGCTCTCATTCCAACCTGGTTCAGCACATTTCAGTCTTACACAAGTAAGGACTCCACAATATTTTCATATAAAGAACAAAACTCAGCCCCATGTTGGGGTTTATACAGCTGACATCATTACATGCACCAGGATGTAGCTCAACCTTACCCAGCCAGTCTACTTTTCCATGCAATAAGCTGGAAGGGCAACATTGCCTAAATTTAGAGATGACGGCACATGCTCAGTAAAAACTGATATACTTATAGACTCTACAGAGTCATGGCCTCAGCTGTGCAGGTACAGTGATGTTGTGTGCCATGCCTCACTGCTATGAGTGTAGCTATTATCAGGCAAAAGCACTTTACTAGAGCTACTGTTTGATACATCCACATTCATATCACCCACAGCAAAAACACATATAGAGGCACTGGCCTGAATAAAAGACATGACAACCTGTTACGATAGTCAACCTCATTCAGGGGACACTCGTGAAGAAAATCTCACTGGACTGGGCTGCTGCGTTTAGCGGTTTCTGGGGCTTACTTTTTCCTTTCCTCACAGCCAAGCTCCTCGCAGGGAACAAAGGTTGGGCATGCCAGCCCTGTTCCTCTGGCTGAGGAGGTGGTGCTATAGGCTCCTGTACATCTTCCTCCTCATGAAACTCCTTCAGCTCTCTGGATTTTACCAGGCAATGTGTGAAGCTCCTTGACTGCCATAATCCGACGAGCCATAGCGACCACTGCCGGCTCCAAGTCTTCGCTAATGCTTCGCTGTGCTTCTAAGGCCTCATGCATGCTCCAGACTCAACCACCACTACATACTGCTGAGTAAATCGGAGGCGTCCATGTTGCCAAATCCAGGAGGTAACAACTTGAACAATTTCATCCAAGAAGTGCAACACAAATTGGAATACTTTCTCCACACTCATTAAGCCCTTTAAGGCAGTCCTTAATGTTGTTTGTGTCCTGTTGGGAACCCTGGTGTTTGACAGTGTACTGGAGTTGTGCACACCTCAAACAAACAGCCACACGGACTCTTCAGTCCAATGACATGAAACATTTTTCATGGGTTATAACACGATTTCATCTTGTGATTTTGATTACAATAAAGTACAAAAACTCATCACCTGCTCTCACCTTCCCATCGGCTGTTTTTGGAAATAAAAAGCTGACTTTATTCATGTATGTGCAATAACTCAAGCACGCACGCCACACCCGCAGCCCTATCTGCCAATGCATGCACAGGGATTCATGCAAGCTTAATCTGATGCTGGACATTTAATGCTGTTACTTGTCTTGCATTTCAGCAGTGCATGCTGGTTACAAGCTTTCAAAACAACAACACAAATATATGGATATCTAGCATCGGGAATACCAAGCAAATATCACACACAGACACAACTAATGAAACAAAACACAAACAGAACGCAATAAGCACTCACAATGTTTCAATGTGTGTGTGGTGTGTGTGTGTGTGGTGTGTGTGTGTGTGGTGGGAAGGCATTGATCAAAGCAGCTTAATAGCTAGGTTCAACACTGTACTGTTCCTGTTGCGAGCTGAAGGCTACTTCAGTCCTCATTACAGCCTCCGACAGGAGGCAGAGACAGGAAAGGAAGGACAAGGAAATGAATCCTCTGCAACTCTGAATCTCCATAAATCACAGCAGCACACAAAGAACACTTTAGCTCGTCTCAGAAAGCAGAAACCTGCACACACAAACACAGAGCCACATGCACTTATGCCTAAATTTAGATATACACTTTAATGGGAGACAAACACACATGGAGGCTGCATGCACACACCCACACACAAAAGCAGCAGCGTCAGTGCATTTTATTTCAACTCCTCATCTGGCTGCTGTAAAAACAAGCCTGCCCCAGTGGGCTGGAAACTCTTTCCCTATTAAAGTTACACTTTTTCTAAAATCCAGGTACGTTAAAACAAGTCACTTCCTGGCTGCCACAAGCAGGACTAATGCCCAGGCAACTCAAGTCACATGTTACTGAGTGACACTGCTACAAATACAGTATTTTATTAAAAATGTGAACTTGACAGAAAACTGGCCAAAAGCTTTGATCTGTTGAGTTTCAGAGCTCAAACTAATCTATACCCGGCCTTCTGCCTAAAAACATGCAGATCATGCTGCAAGGTAGCAGCAGTCCAGATCTTGAAAGGGGGCAAATTTACACGAACCAAGGGTTTCTATTTTTATGATTTGCAGAACTTTTTGACCATATGCTTGAAGCTCAGTGCCAACTATATCCTAAATATCTGCGGGACACCACAGCTTCTAATGCTGCCCACTAATTATCGCCATATATCTGCACCCTCATCGCATTTTTTCCTGCCCCAAGGCTTTTGACCATAGATAAAGGTTGGCAATAAGAGGATGGAGTAACCCCCGCTTTTGCACCTTGCACATCCTGACCTAATGATGCCAAGAGGACAGTTCATAAGCTGCCAAAACACTCTCCATTTTAACAGCCTAATTAGCAAACTCCAAGAACAAGCCTGACTTCAAGCTGAGAATGAGAAGGTGGTTTTTATTTAACTGCAGCACACTGGTGACACCTCAATTATGGTTGAAGCAACAGCCGTTAACGAATCTGATGCACCCAAATGTGTGCTTCAACAACACCGCACAAAACAACAACAGAGAGACAAAACCACAGGAGGACTTAGAACAGGACTTACCTATGATGGAGAACCCGCCGAGGCAACAATCATCACAGAACATGGAAAATAAAATCAACAAAATTAACAATTACAGTTTGGCCTTTTGGAACCGTTATACTTCATGGAGACGGGGTAAGAATTGTTATTGCGTAACACCTTTAGTGAAAAAACAGGACACCTGCTTTTATTTTCCAACAAAGACAGGCAGCTACAGTAGTGAGGAAAACAGAGTTAACTGGATGCAGGGAAAAGAAGACAGCGTGACACCATAACCCCTGGATGCAAAGGAAAGGGATAATGATCACAGGGTTAACAGAGACCTGGACAGAAGAGAAAATTACAGGTTTCGTTTTGATTTGGTGAAGATACCTACTGGTGCTGCTAGGAAGGAAGACTGTGAATGGTTAGTAGTGTCACACCTGTCAACAGCAACACTGTTAGTCACGAGAACATCTCAGCAGTGCATCATTGGGAACAGGATACTACAGATAAAAGGGATGTTTCAGTTTCTTTTAAGTAGTTCTGTATAAGGTGCTGATTCGTACTCAGTGCATTATATTCAGCTTCCTCCCAGTTAAGAGATGCAAAGCGTATACGTACTGTAGGTGTTTAAAACATCAAAGATGAGGCCCCGCTAAATGAGCAACTCTGTCTTCTGCAAGGTAACAGTGCTGTCTTTGTCAAAGTACTTATAGCTGTTAAGATAGAGAGGTGATGGCTTCAGGAAACTTGTGTCTGGTAGTAGTGTTGAGTCCTGAAAATACTCTAAATATAGCTTACAGTTACACTGACCGTTTGGCTTCGAGTACTGATTAATACCTTATACGATCCCACTGCAATGAAACCCAAACATCCCTTTAGAGTCAAGGCAATCCACAGCCCTGTTGGTCAACACTTCAATCCATGCGTTAGTCACTCAAAAACAGCCAGCAAGCCTCAGCCAAGTCTTTAGACAAATGTATCCATGCAAGAAAACAGAACGAATGGGTGTAATGATTGACATAACCCCTGATGAATATAATACACCCAAGCAATCAGTTCTGCTCAAGATCTATCGGACGTCAGTTTCAAATATGGGAAGTACCCAAGCCGGATTGCAACATGCATGGCAACCATTTGTCTACATGTTTTAGTTACTTTATGTATTTCTACGTTGTCCAGGGGTGACTACAACCAACCTTCAACGAGAGGAACATCTTGATTGGCCACAGCTGGTTCTTCCATGGGATCAGCAAAGCTGGGAAAGAAGGGCTTAGCTGCAGGATTAAGACCAGATCCTGGAACTGCCAGAGGGGGGACCGATGGAGGGGAAGAGGGGCTGGTGACAGGCGATGCCATTGGAGAGAACCTTTTAGCTTCTGGGGAGGTTGGACTCTTAACAGAGGATGAAGAAGATGAAGAGCGTGGTTTCTTGGATTGTTTTGGGGATGATTTGCCTTCTTTGAGCTCTCTGGCTTGGAATTCCTGTGCCGTAGTTTTTGGGGAACGGAGAGGTGCTGGGCTTGGGGTGTCGAAGTTTAGACCTAAGGGTAAAGGACGAGCTAGCACACCCATGTCAGCAAAATTAAATAAATCGCTGTTGCTGCTCATATTTGAGCTGTTCAGAACCCATGAAGCATCAGACGGCGAGAGAGGTGGTGCTGAGGCTAACACCTCACCTTCAGGGGAACAATTTGGGCTTGGCTGGGTGGCAGGGCTGAAGGCTGAGGTGTCTGCCTCAGGCGTAGCTTGCTCACAACATTCCTGGAGAGAACTGCTGTTGTCAAACATGCCGCTGTCTACCAGATTACCAACTGCTGCTTCATTCTCTGGAGAAAAAGGTGGCGAAATAGCCTCTTTGCTGTTGCCCAGACTTGCATTTTCGGTTTCCATCAAGAGATCAAATGGGTCACAACATGGAGGGGCCACAGGGAAGGAACCGAGTGATTTGCCATTGGTGGTAGAGGGCATAGTAAACGGAGCTGCTGTGGCTTTCAGCTCACTGTTCAGGACCAGTGGGCTAATGGGAGCCGCTCCTGGGGAGAAAAGATCCTGAGACAGAGGGGAAGATACCAAGCCTTCATCTGGGTAGACCTCCTTTTTCCAGGGGCTCTGGCTTGAATCTTCATCTGCCAAGTAGGCCTCAAGGTTGTCCAGAGTTGAACTCCCAAGATCCATCATGTCCTCCTCTGTAATGTTAGAGGTCACAGCAGATGAAGGAACAAATGGTTCTGCCACTCCCCACTCCTCTGGAAGCTTCTTCCTGCTCTTCCCCTTCTTCCCTCGGCCTCCACTCTTCCCAAGTTGCTCCTCCCAACCACCCTCTGCTTTATCCCTCCTTGGGCCAATCCTATGATAGAACTCCTCTGTTGGTCGGGTGCTTTCTCCCAGTGCTTGCATCTCAGGGTGGCCCTTGCTCTCCAGTTGTTCGTAGGATCCCTCATCTTTCTGTCGTCTTTTCTTCTTCTTCTTTTGTTTTCGGTCTGATCCATCCCTGTCCCTTTCGTCGCCTCCAGCATAGGCAGCGCTCTCACGGCTAGGCCAACTGTCAGGTGGGTCCTCAGGGCTGGCTGCAAGATGGCTGGCATGTCGAGCAATCACTGTGGTGACACTTGGAGTAAAAGGGAGGTCTGTCGACAGGCAGCCAGCCTGGTCTGGCCAGCCTAAGGCACCTTGTTGTGGGTGAAGAGGGCATAGTTTAAGGTAGGTAAAGATAGATATGTGCATATTAACTTTTTTCCCTTAGTCTAAAACAAACAATACAGAGAAAGCCCAAAAAGTTGATTCAGGGTTGGTTTGAATCGGGGGTCAAGGAGGCCATTTACGTGAAAAAGCAAAGACCATCTCTGAATCGAGGAGTATGAGGTACTCATGGCCATTGATCAGTGGTCTTTGATCAATGGTTATGACAAAATTCATACTAATGATCACGAAGCTGACCTCACAGCCCATTGTTCATTCAGTGGTGCTAGTTTGTACTGTTCATAAATGTAGTGGAAATCTGGATTCAGCTGAAGAAGAAGTGAACTGGATGAAACGTTTTTCCCACGGAAAACGTCCAGATGAACAGAATCAACTTTTTGGGATTTCCTTACCTGGATGATTGAGCATGCACCAAAACGGACAGAGAAATATCACACAGAGGCAAATAAATCACAAGAAGACTGGGATACTGATTACACAAACAGCGTAACATTTTAGAGCCTCATTTCTGTTGCCCTTTAGTGAAGAAAGAGTGTGCATGTTCTCATATTCTTTAAGAGGATCTACTTACTTACAGTGGTCATATTGGCAATATTATGTTTCAAATAATAAGCTCAGCTTATTTGGAAGTAATCAAAAAATAAAAAGGTTTCAGACTAGTCCGAATGCTCAGTTTCACACAGTTGTTTCTTTATAATGTCAGTGATTGGAAATAGTCTTTATACGGTCATGGCAGACACACATATCAGCACACAGGCTCCGCCCAGCAGCTGGTTAAAGTTTGTGCTTGTGAGGGGCAGGCAACCAGAATAAAGTTGGATTTAAAGGAGAGGAGGGGAATTAAACAGTCAAACTTGTTTCAGACAATGGTTGAAATGTGGAGCTGCACAGAGGCGTAGTGAAGGATTAATGAAGAGTCTAAGAATCAGCTACAAATGGAAATAATACAACTTTAACACAGAGCGGATAAAGTAATCCAAACCAAGCCGTGATAGTCTGAAGATTTCTTCTAATGTAATACTGACTGAGCAAATGGATAGTGACAATTAAACATACACACACACATTTAAACATACACACACACACTTATATGCAGTATATGAGCAACTTAAAGGATGGAGACAATAGGCTAATTTTGGGCGACTGACTCAGAGCAGCCTTGAGGACTAGTACAGTGTGTACACTCACAATTAAGCTAGTAGCAAACGACATAGCTTTGTGCAGGCACATGAGAGTGTGTGCATGTAAGTATGTAGTACCTAGAGTGAAGTGCCCAACATGCACACAATGATAGACACAGAAAGACGTGGAAAAAATTTCAAGACGAATGCTTAATGGTCCCACAGAAAGGAGGTCAAACACAGGTCACTTTACTGTAACTAAAGCAGACTCCATTAGTTTTGTGCCACAGTTTAACATTGCTTCAGTAATAGAGGGCATTTATAATGGATGGCAGTAGTCAACCTGATTTCAGTCTAGAAGGGAGACGGTAAAGATAGGATGGTGAATGCAAGATACAGGAGTGCTAACAAGAGCAGCGGGGACATCGTCTGCTGAGAGGAGGGGTGGCCCAGTTTGTTTCTAGATCTCAGGTATATACATAAAGGTACACAGCTGAAGAAGAACAGCTAAAGTGGAGCAGCTGTCAGGACCCACACAGCAGCTCTCTGGAGGGCCATTTTTCATATTAACGAACACATGACACAACTGTGCTCTGTATGTATCAGGGGAAGCAGAAACATCAAATGAAAGTACTGCAGTGTTTGTGCTGCAAAGGCTCGTTATTCTGGATGTTTTCTAAAGGACTACAGATGGAGTTTGTTACTGTGATTGTCATGTAAAGTTGTCACAGTGGGATAATGTTACAAAAACTGTAAATGTTCCTGACCTGCAGTACCAACATGCACATATCGGCCACAACATTTAAAACACTTAATGTGAAGCGAACAACATTGCTTATCTCAGTGTAAACTTCCAGGGCTGAAACGCCAACGCGGAACTGCCAGAAACCACAATTTGTCCAACGGCCACTTTAGGCTGGCTCCAAAATGCTCATGATGTCAGACTTCAGCTATGAAATGAGCATGATTGGTACAAAAGTGGCAGCCGTGACTCAAACAGCTCATCGAGTAATTTAAAGGTCAGTGGTTTGATCCCCACCTCCTCCAGGACGCATGTCCACATGTCTTTTGACAAGATGCTGAACTAAACGACCCTGATGCATCCGTCAGGGTCGTGTGTGTGTGTGCAATAGCTTGCAAGAACTTTAAGTCAAAGAGTCAAAATGACTGTGTGTGAATATGGCCTGTATTAAAAAAGATGACAAGATGGCGCCGAGTATGGCAGCCTCGTCGCGAGCTCCCCCAAGCAACAGCT